ACTCCAACCATTCTGATCCTCCACGACGAACTCCTCTGGAAGCTATAACCTGAATGAATGAACCTGAATGAACCTAGATGAATGGACAAATCTTATTTATTTAATTTAAATGAAAATAGAGAAACGCAAAGAAGCCGACCGGTCGGCAAAGAAAAGAACCTCAAGGAAAGGTATCTATATAACTCTATATAACTCTATATAACTCTATATAACTCTATATAACTCTATATAACTCTATATAACTCTATATAACTCTATATAACTCTATATAACTCTATATAACTCTATATAACTCTATATAACTCTATATAACTCTATATAACTCTATATAACTCTATATAACTCTATATAACTCTATATAACTCTATATAACTCTATATAAACCATGCATACTACCACATTCAATCAATAAAAATCCACTAAAACCAGGAACCACCGCGTACCTGCTGAATGTATGTTGTGAAACAAAACAAAAAAACACACAAAACGAAAAACACACAACCAAGTAAAAGTAAAAGAAAAGAAGTCCTTAACCTACCTATGTAACTAAATTACCTTATGCCCTTGCCTACCTATATAATAAATTAATTCTCAATCTCACCTACCTATATTTCGTTAACTTAACTCAAGACTCATGAAGAAGGAGAAAAAGGAGTATAACAGAATATAAAATACTACCACACAAACAAACATGATGTAAGTATGTATGTATGAGCAACCGCTAAAGAACCCACCTAAAATATAAAAAAATACAACATACAAACACACAAACCACAGACATGCAAACTCTATATAACTCTATATAACTCTACATAACTTTATATAACTCTATATAAAATAAAATTAAATAAAAATAAATAAATTAAAAAAATATAAATATAAAAAAATGAGATCAGGCACTCCGACTCGAGCGAGGCAGAAATGCCTGATCTGATTTCAACGTTTTTTCAGCTCCTCTATTTATACTCGTTTCAACCATACATTCTCATCATTTCAATCATTCGCATCAGTAAAAAACTTGTTTAATGTATATACTGCACTATTATACAGTCTTAACCACAATGCTAACCGTACTAAATTGACGTCATCGAACGAACGCCTTCGAAACTTTCTGGTTGGCCGGTTGAATCTGCTATATTGCTTTTCATATAAACATAATCTAATGTAATTCAAAATAGTTTGAGACCACACCTTGCTTAACATCCGATTCCAAGCCGAGCCAAGCCAAGCTGAGCCAATATGCATAAGCGCTTTTATGTTAAAATTTTGCTCGCTATATTTATATATTTTATAAATTCATTATAAAAACAACAGTAATCATAGCTATATATGTACGCACGCAGTTCAAATTTTTCGGGAAGAATTCAAAATAGTTTAAGACCACACCTTGCTTAACATCCGATTCCAAGCCAAGCCAAGCCAAGCTGAGCCAATATGCATAGATTTATAAGCGCTTTTATATTAAAATTTTGCTCGCTTTTTAAACGAATATCCCAATATAACAAATTCTCCATCCTATTTTAACTTTCTTTGATGCTTTTTAATCAGTCAGGTCACAAAAATCATTATCGATATCGCAATGAAATCAATTTGAATTTTTTTTCAATTATTGATAAAATTTTTAAATTGTTGATAAAAATAACTAGTATATATAGTGTAGTAAAACGTTTAAAATTTTTTGAGAGAATTCAAAATAATTTGAGACTACACTATAACACAATTGTACAATTTGAATGTGTAAATACAACATTATAAATGTATTATAACTACGTGTATACATCTATCTATTTCTTTATTTAGTTCTGCCTGTGTATGACATTTTGTCAAATTTATTTGATAGGAATTGAATATAACCTTTATACCGGCTGATTAACTACCATGCAGTAAAATAACTACTGTTGACACCATTTCCTCCAACGATTTCGCAACGAATTGCCCATACCATATAATTAGAAGAAACTCTTTCAATCAATGTTTAAATTTTTATATTGTTATTTATTCTTTCGTTTTTGTTTCTGTACTAATTTTCGTGTCAGATACAATAATTTAGTTTTTAAGTAAATTTTCATTTTCGTAGCTATACACAAACATGCCTACCTGTTGCATTAAAAATTGCATTAATAATAAATAGAAATGAGAAAATTTCTGATGCATCTTTTCACAGGTTTATTTTTCAAATTAACTTCACACTAAAATAAATGTAACAATATCCCTACTAAAATCATTGAATAGAACTATTTTGTTTTACAATTACATATATTTTATTTTATAGACTATTATAATTTATAATGCTATCATGGATTACCATTTTATTATTAAAAGCAATACTTAAGAAATGCACAAGTTTCTGTAACAGTTTATAAAATTTCAGATTTCCTCAAAATGTAAAAATGCAAAACGATTGGATTAAGTGCATCAGACAGGAAATAAATGATTTCAAATGGCTTCCATCAAAAAATGCAAGAATATGCAGTGACCATTTCTGTAATAAAGATTATAAGGGTTATGATGGAGAAAGGAAGGTAATGCTGAAGAAAGCATTCCCATGTTTTCAAGTTAGTTATATTTATATGTCAGTTACACAAGGAAGCAATTCACATCATCATTGTACATTGCAACATTATCTATACAAAAAATATAAAATGCATTTACCAATATTCCATGCATTTTATTAAAACTTAGAAAGGGCATAATGACATTGTGAATAATAAACCCTGTTTAGGACTGGGATCATCATCATCATACCAATCACCATTACAAGTAGAGTCAATTTTATATTAATGCTTAACAAGTTAACTAAATTGGCATAATCAAGTTTTTATATGAAATACACATCAAGTATTTAATGTAACAAATAAATTAACAGAAAAATTTCTGGAAAAGTTTAAAAAAATTAGAACATATGACTCTGAACAAAAATCGTTCACGTTGACACTGCATTTGTATGGGCATAAGGCATATGATTATCTTTGGACAAATGGCTTACACTAGGACATTAAGAAAGTAATCTTGTCATACCTGTTCAATAATTTTAATAAGATTGTTTTAAATAACTATTCTCAATGTCATTTTATTAACACTACATTAAAAGGTGGCTACAAAACATTGATGGTATGCCTGGGATGATTTCTACAAACCTTATTGACTAACGGTGATGGGGATCCTCTGGAACTGTAGGGTCATGACATTCAATCTAGTCATGGATTGAGAAATCAATCCTTGATATATTTGATAACAAACATTTATTATAATATAAGAATGAATAAAAGATGTAGGTGTAAGGCAAAATCTTACTGGAACTATTATTTTTAGCAATTTATGATTTATTTTTTTATTTATGACTTTATCCATTTTCAATGATACCGATACTTTTAATTATTATTATCCAAATTATATT